CTTGATATCAGAAATCCCGGAACCTTGGGGTGTTTTGTGATGTCTCAGGTTCCACGAGGCCACAAGAACACATAAAACCAAGGCCTTTCAACCGAACCAAGCGGTGTACAGTCCGGTGACAGGTCGGCTTACACCGTAGCGTCGTCGTCAACAGCGCCCTTTATCGTTGATGACACGAGTGAGACGAGGGTTGCTTTTAGGTGAACGGTGACCGGGAATAATCACATCAGACACCTTGATCCGACAGCCAAGGGCTGATAACTGAAGAACTGAGTGCACCACCAAAGACTCTCGTGAACTGAGCAAGTATTGGTCAACCACTCAGGACACCCTCGAGGATTTTGTGTGCCTCAAAGCCACTACCAAGGACACGGTTAGCTGCTGGCGGGCTTGACTGAGCGAGCGAGATGGGCAAGGGCGGGGATGATGGGCGCTGGGGTGGAGAATCGGATTTAGTCGGTAGTGGTGCGCCTTGCTAGCAGAAGAACTGTAATGATCATCAACAAGGATCGGCTTATCTGTTGTTGTTGGTGTTGATGTTGGACCCCTACAATTCTTGCGCAATCCTCGATAAGGAAATCCCAAGCGTGCACGAGCTTACTGTGTACACCCTCATCTTAATATTTTAGCGTCCAAGGTCCCAGGTCGAACTGAGCTCTGTTGCGGTTGGTCTTTGCTCCGAAGCCAAACTCGGTTGCTACCTCGGCATGGTCAAGGGTGGGAGTATGTGATATTGATGAAAGCCATCTCCGAAGATGTTCAGCCTTGTCTCCAAATAGGAGTTCCGATGGCCTTGTAGGTTTTGTCGTTTATCTGCTGAGCAAGAAGCGTTGTAACCATGGATATCAAACCTCATTTGGGCCGAGTATCATTTGATATTGTGGTCGGAAATAACGGTTTAATTCTGCCCACAAACGTCCTGGTAGTTGACTGTCGAAGGTTGTCAGAAATGACGACCACATCCGTGATATCTTACCGTGAGCTTTTCCAACGCGTTCGAAGAATTCATCACCTCGACCTCTTGGTCCTGTGCTTATGGGACCTATCTATAACTTTGTGGGGGTTCCTGCGTTTGTGCCGTGGGCACCAATGGCGAAGTCTCGATGAATGACTGCTAGACCGATGAAACCCACGGCGTGCGGGATGTTGAAGAAGAGAAACGCGTGTGAGATATCGAGCTCCTGGCATTCCAACGCACCCGATCTCCATCCCCACAAACATCACCAAGATAGCCAGTGTGGGGCAGCCGCCACATGGGACGTCCGCCAATGTCACTGTCCACTGGATAAGGGCTTTCTTGGCTTCTTGCAGTGGAGAGCTGGAGTGCACTCCCGCAGCGGGGGCAGCCAAAAGAGCGTTGAACGAATCGCCTGACTTGCCGCTGCTGGGTACCGTACTGTGCAGAGAGGAACGAGAACAACATCTGTGACATTTCATCCCCTAGAATTTGCTTTGTCGCTGATGTTGCATGCGATGATATCGGTTATATGCCCATTGAGCTGCCTGCATACTGAGGGCAGAGCACAAATAAGGTGCAAATGAAATGTTTTGAAAAGCGCTTGCCCTAACGCGTCGTGTTGCGGATTCGGCAAACCACTCTAGCTCGTTGTTGATCAGGAGATATGCCATCGGCGACGGGTAGCAGGATCTGTCGTGAGCAGTGCAATGGTGCCACCCGAACCTTTTTCGACAATTAAGAGCGGACCAGACCGTCATGTACGCAGTGTTGAGTAGAGCACTTTACCTGTCGTCCAACGCCATCATGTTTAATGCCCAGTCGGTGATGATATGGAGACTCCGCACGTCTTCAAGCGAGGCCGCGTAGGACGTTGCCATGAAAGGTTAGGCCTTCACTGTGATATCTTTACCAGACAGGCTCATGGGACCCCCTCCTATCGGGTTTCCGACTAGCGCTCCTGAGCCCAGAAGCAGGCACGGCGCACGACAGCGTGGAGACCTTTGCCAGTCTTCGTGGCTGCCCGCTGCCACACGAGTTGAAGATGGGTGCGGGGGAGAGGATGAAGATGATTTGTCGAAAGGAATGTGGTTGTGAGGTGCAGCAGCTGCAGGTCAAACTGAAAGCGGTTTAAAGCCGTAACGAGCACATCCTTGTCCTTGCAGCCGACGCTGCAGAGAGGAGCACCCAAAGCGAGGACGGGGACGGCGCGAGGGCGTCAAGGTTGGAGGGCGTGTCCTCTGAAAGGGGTGTTGATTAGTGCACAGTGTTCTCGTCAGGGTCTGGGTAGGTGGGTGTACACAGGCATCAAATTTGCCATCGACGTTGGGGTCGGGTTGGGGAAGGGAATCACCATGTTGTAGATGCAGGTTGTATGCTGCGAGTGCAATTTGGCTGAAGCGAGCAGCACAAGTTGGAGGTTGGCGAGCCGGCTCACGTTGTGAAGCTCAACACTAAACAGCCCGGTCTCACCGAAGATTTTGGGCTGCGAGTCTAGATCTGGCCGTGAAATCCAAGGTTGTCCCCTAATCCATATCTGATTGTACTGTAGAGCTATTCCCATTTCATGTAAGGAATGAAGGTGACAGACAGCGAGACCACACCAACGACCAACACAGACCAACACAAGGTTCGCCTTCGGGCCTTGGCTTATTGGTTTCTTCTTTCGTTCTTCTGTGGGTGGAAGTCACTGGCTGTTGCCCCAAGAGAGATTCGAGGGTCGTACCGGGGGCGCCTCTTGGAGTGCTGAGAACTCTGAAGTGCAGAGGAGTTCATACCATTTTGGGCTTGTGTTGTTGGACTCCTGGACCAGGCCGAAGGAAGGGTGGCCAATGGAGCAGTCCAACGGCGACGCCTGTTTCTCGCCAGGCTTCATGACGAGCTTGGACAGGCGAGGGGATTGGTGGGTGCAGTTGCCGGGTCTGAGAGCCTCGGGGGACGGGATACTGTATTGGTCCAAGAAGGACCTCGTCGATAATGCTCTCGATAGAGTGGGAGAAGGGGGACGGGAGTGAAGACGAGGACGGGACGAGGTCGCACCGCAGTGTGCAGAGGCAGCAAAGGGCAACCATCCCATCACAAGCAGCAAAAGTCGCCATGCCCACTCATTCACTCATGATACCACCACCTGGACACCACCTAGATAGAGGTGCGCCATATGTATGGAAGGCGTATCGTGAAAGTGCAAGGCAATAAGGGCAAGCAGGTCTTGTGCCTTCAATATACTTGCCAAATACTCTGGTTCCTTGTGATGCTGCAGTCTGTTGGGATGCAACCCAACATGTTCCAAAGCCACTGTCTATGGTACTGACTAGAACCCCCACGTCAGACTTTTTCCCAGCGGCCGAAGCTTTGTTGCTCTTGGTTGTATGTGTTTGGTTCTGATATTACCGTGTTGTTGTCGTTGTTGTTTTAGCCTCTGGCTTGCCGGCAACGTCTCGATGCCGCAACGGTGCTAAGAGACAACAAGGGACCGAGTCCAGTTGAGGTGACTGATGGTTGAGAAGCTGGGAGTACAGGATGACACTCTGGAGACACAAGGACTGGAAACAGCCCGTCTCACCATGGGCGGGTTTCGCATCTTGGTGTTGCAGCGGCCAGCGGGCCCGCCACTAACAGCGTGTATCAACCTCGTTGGAAAAGGTACAGTACAGTACCCAACGGAGGTCGCTGAAGCCCGAGAGGGAACACAAAACTGCAAAAACGCCTGATGTGTGATCTTCCGACTTGCTCCAATGTGAAGCCAGTGCCAGTGCAGAGATTTTCCAAATGGGCAAGATATACGAGACCGGCGAAGGGGACTCGGGGGGGACTAGCGCAAGTGAGGTGAGCCGAATTGAAGTTGAGTAGTTGAGAGTTGAGGCTCAGGCAAGTTGCCAGTGCAGGCAGGGACGGGACGGGAACTTGGGATGCTGGGAAATTGCGTGCTGTTTGGTTCGAACGACAGAGGCAAATGAGACGAGACGTGGAGAGCATGTTAGTGGACGTGCGAACCAAGAGTCCAAGACCAAACTGGGGAAACCTTTTGATTGTGAAATTCCAATTCCAGAACATGCCCTCCACTGAGCACAAGCTGAATGAGAATGGCAATGACTGGAACAAGTGAAAAATTTTCACATCTGCCAGGTACTCTGCGACGGAGTCTTCCTGATCAGGTTCCGTGCATGGTATGTGCCGCGACAAGGCAGTGAGGTGAGGTGGTGTAATAGGTCGCAGTGGGTTGAGAAGGCAGAAACAGTTGGAGAGGCAGACATTGGAAAAGAGGCGTCAGCGACAAAGGATGCACGCGGCCGCCAACATTTTTTTTATTTTTCTTCTTGTCTTGCTCTTTGGGGTCATCGGGATCTGCGAGCGAGGATTCTGGCAGCTATGACTGCCAGCACAGCCCAAACCATCAAAGCATTGGATCCTCTTCGGGCAAGAATACCAAGGAAATCGACAAGCAAATGAAGCAAAGATTTTTTTTTCAAGGGCAGCAGACTCAGAGGGGCCGCCAATGTGAGGTGGTCACGCCTCTCAGCAGCACCTCAGGCTGGCATTCACCAGTCCACTGCCCAGATGCCCAGAGAGGGCTCAACTGGCGACTGCGAGTGCGTGACCAGACCAGTCCGCCAAGCACAAGGAGAAACTGACAGACCCGCTCCTCTTGCTCATAACGAACCAGGGTGGTGCCACGACCAGCCAGCATGCTCCCATTCTCGCTAATTCCACGCCTGCCAAAAGAAATTTTTTTCTCACCCCTCCTGACACCTCTTTGGTCACTGCACGGTCTGGGAAAAACACTGTGGAGCTACCCTCGAACAAGGCATAGTGCAGATTGGCACGCCCAGTGGGTGTTGCACCCCAACTGCCTGCACCCCTCTGGAAAGACCGGGCCCACCCACCACTCCTTGACCCCCCTGCTGCTTCCCAACACACCCTGGCGAGGAACAAAGTTAAGGGACGTGTGCTTTTGAGACTTAGTGCACTGTGTACCTGCTGGGTGTGGACTGCGGCCTACGGCACCCCTGCGTATCCCTCGATCTGCGTACCTCCACCGGCGCCAATGTCTGAGTGCGTGTGTGGGGCCTTCGAGCTGGTCATGGGCCTCTGCCTCACACCCAGCACGCAATGACTGGACTGACTGGGACGATTGGCAGTGACCGGGGGCAGCGCACGTCGAACTCATCCAAGGTCCTTGGGATACATAACCCAACTTTCCCCCAGCTCTCCTCCGAACAGACTTCACTTCCAGAATCGGCATCACAGACAACAACTACCACTTCACTCTCTCTTCTTCCCTCTGCAACACTGCTCTGGAAAGCAAGCAAGCAACAAGCAATCCAACTACAACACAATAATACCAACAACAAACACACACCAATAGCCACCGGCACAAGAAGAGAAAAACATCCACAGCTTGGACTTTAAAAACAACCACAACCAACAATAATCACCACTACCACCACCACAGCTCGACACAGCTTCCAATAAGCCAATTCAGCTTCGCGCCTTTCGCACAACCAATCAGTCACTCCATTAGCCCATCCAGCCCACGCTGAGCTTGCAGCCTCGAGCGAGTCTTCCAGACTACACAACCACCACCACACACACCACCGACACAATGTCTTTGAGGATTGGGCCCTGCAGTTCTGCCTCACCTGCGACAAGCAGACTGATGATGGCGCCGCCTACTGCTCCGAGTCCTGCCGCCTGGCCGACTACGAGACCAACTCCGCCTCCAGCTCCGGTCCTAGCTCCCCCAGCCTGAACGGTCCTTCCTTCGACTGGTCCTTCGACAAGCCTACCTCTTCGAGCAACAAGTCCTACCTCTCCCCCGCCTATACCTCGCAATCGAGCAGGACAATTTCTCCCTCGAGCTCGCACACCAGCCTCTGCTCCATGAAGAGCACATCATCGGCGGGCCTCAGCCACAGCCACTCTGGCATGTCTGAAAAGGCGGCCCGGGAGCTCCAAGCATACGCCCACTCGTTCGAGTCCGTCAGACTGCAACGCAGGCGATCATCCAACTAAAACACCAACGCAACCATTTACACACCACTACATTGTTTATTATCAGCGACTATACCCCTCACCTCACTCGACTATTGTTCAGTCATAGAACATTACACGACTCGACTCGGCCATTTGTTTCGTTTGTTTCTTTACAGTTGTTGTATCAAAAAGGCATACATCGGAGCACAGCATCATAAAAAAGTCTGGGTCAAACCTCGGGGATTGGGAATCTGCTTTTTGTTTTCGCAAGTTCAAAAAATAAGGCGCACGGGGCGGGTTTCAGCTTTTGGGTACTTGGATGGGAGACATTTCTTGTACCGCATCGATACATTTTGGGTCGATTTCAATTTTCCTTTAACAAAGCACTTGCATCTGGGAAGCCGGGAGATTTGGGTGTTTGCTAGCTATGGGTATGGGATACGCGCGTCAGACTCTCGGCTCTGGCATGAATTGTTAAGGGATTTTTGTTGGGCGTTGGATCATATTAAGAGAGGCACAGCATTATTAGTGCCATTATGGCAATTGTTTATTGTATGATTGAGCGGGGGAGTTGGAGAAGGATACCATAACATTGCAAGCGGCAAAAGAACCGTGCAAAAGATGATCCTGAACTTTTTTTTGGTTATGGATCTGAATACAAACAATTCTTACCATGCCCAACACCTATGCATCCAATATATCCTGCCTGCACTCTGTGAACTGTCTCATTCTGCATTGCGCTGTTTATGACATCTAACCTGCACCCTTGCACATGATATGTCTCAGACTTTTCAATGTTCCAGTTCGTCCGGTACTCGAACCATTGCTTCCGCCATCTGAGACGAACGAATAGGTAAATCCGGAGGTCCATTCCCGTGCCGGACCGCCAGGCTTCAGCACAAGGTCCCGCCCGTCCAAGACACCAGCAGACTATTGGTTTCAAGTTCTGCTTCGCCTCTGGACCGGTACCGAACAATGGGGAGCGGCCGATTGGGACAAAGGCACCAAATTGATCAACCGGGCACTGTTCGTTACAGCCCAACGGCGAGTTTGTGTTGGGTAAAATAAACTCTATGGTATAGGGTGAATAGCTTGCGAGATCCGACTGACCCAATGGGCCGAGCCGCTAGATCGCCCAAACCAAAAGAAAGAAACAAGGCAAAAAAGGGACCCACCAAATTCAATTACACAAAAGCACGGCAGAGTTTAAGCTGCTTAGACCTTGATGCATTCACTAACAGGGACCACACCCATCCATAGAGATTATTGCGTGACCATTTTACGTGTGCTCATATTGATACAAGACGGCGCCATTGAGATGTCCGTCGGCGGATTTGGACAAAACATATTGGCAGTTGGCTAGCAGTTGATAAGGCAGGGGAGTGGAGCTTTTTTCCAAATAGACTTTCCGTCGGGTACATGAAACCACAAAGCAAGAAGAAGAAGAAGAAGAAGAAGAAGAAGAAGAAGGATGCAACATGTACTGGCTCTTGACGATGAAAGAAAGAGCTCTCCTCCCTTCCTTCTCGCATCTATCTTGACTTGCCGTTGGCATACCTAGCATGAGTTTTACAACTGGACGGACGGCATGAAAATGGCATTTCCAGGTGGGCGGCACGGGATTGTTTGACCCACTCTTCTGCCAAAATAAAAGAGGGGTCCACTCTGTCCCACTCACCCAATTCACCCAACTGGAACCCTTTCCCTTCTCTTTGCAGCAGGCCACCTCATGGCCCTCATGTCCCTCTCATCAAATTCCCCGGTCCAACCACAGCTGACGAACACACTCTTCTCTTCTCTGGCTTTCTCCCCAAAGGTTCGACTGATTCGCGGGATCAGCCTCAACCACTCAACCAGAAGCTGCTCCTCCCCGCTGAGCCCGCCTCACTTTGACCCAAAAAGGAAAGAAGAAAAGTCGAAAGAAAGAGGCCGTGCCACGCGAGCATGTTGGATTGTCGAAGCCCCAAAGTGACGGAGAGGCCCAGCCAAGAGAACGTTGAGCCACGTTACAAAGTGAAAAACTCTTCTTTCTGTGGGAGGCACAGACGAAGACTTCGAAGAGAGGCTCAGAGGCTAGGCTTGGCCAAAGGCGCCGTCACGCCGTCACGCCGTCACGCCGTCACGCCCCATCTTCGCATCTCCTGTTCCTCATTCTCCTCTTCCCCTCTTTCCGCTCCGAATCGATGGATACACAAATACCTTGAGGCCGGGCCAAAACGAAAAAGATTAGATGGATAAAGAAGAGAGGCAAGACCACAATGACTCTTATCACGAAAATTGGGAATTGGCCCCCCTCTCCCTTTTCCCCTCACTCACCAGTCACCACGCCCCGTCCGTCCGTCACTATCAAAACTTTCCGATATCGGTCATGTCGTGGGAGCATAACACAAACCACACCTCACACACGAAGAGATAACAATGACGATGGCAAAGGGGGTACGATAGGTAAGGCATGGTATAGTGCTTCAAGTGACTCCCTCGCCACTGGAAAATCCCAAATTTCATAGGTAGGCCACTACTGCTGGCGGCCGGTGCTCAATAGCCCCTAGTCTGGAGTAGGTGGTGCTTTATGTCGTGATACTGGAGTATTTGCCTGATATGACAGACGAGGACAAAGACGAGGACGAGGGCCAGGAAGGGTTGATTCGCTTCGTGACTTTGTGACTTTGTGAGGATGCGGGTGCAAAAGCAAGGGAAGAGAAACGGCACATGCGGAGATGCTTTGGATAGCTCATAGCTTACTGCAGCAACCTGTCACGGGACGACGACGTGAAGAAGTCGTGATCGTCGATTTGATGCGTTTCGGTGATGCGGATGTAATTGGATGAAAGGCTTATCTTGTCGCTGCCGGCCGAGCAACTGCTACGCAAGGGCACCGTCTAGGGTTCTGACCAAAACAAGCTGTCCGAAGACCGAAGCTCGAAACCTGTAGACTACGTAGTAGGACAGCTTCGCAAGAGAACAACATCCTCACATTGTCGGTATACTCGTACCAGAGTTTCCGAACTGGATGGAGCTATGGACCAGCAGCTATGCATAGTGTAGGGCCAGCTCCATTTTAGATCGTGATCGTACAAGGTCTCAAAGTTTCAACAAACTCCGGCGGGGGAACTGGATGGGAGAATCTGTTTTCCAGCACAACAAAACAGCATATAAAACACCCAAGATCCTTGCCAGCTGGCACAGATGGGAATCTGCCATCTTCTTCTGGCCGATAGTCTCGAGGATACCGGTTTCTACGCACGTACGTACATGGAGAACTCGTACGAGAATGAGCTTTTTCCAAATTTCCCATGGTCGATAAATCAAAACCTCGTCCAACTTTCAGGTTTCTTGTTCCTCCCCCTCATTAAATAAGATAGCAACTAGGGTGATGCCAGCAAAGATAGGTAGCTTGCTCTTGCTTGCACTAGTGTACGTAGATGAAACGATCCCTGATCGCGCGGCTTGTGTGTGAACTTGGACGTCCAAGAAGTCGTCGTGAGTGGGGCTCTGCCTACGGCTGTTTGGCCGGACGGACAGGGCCCCGTCCGTAGGGCCCGTAGGGCCAGCGCTGGCCGCTGCCCAAAGCGCCCGCGGTGCACCGGGCAGGATGCGCAAATCTTGGAATACTTGGTTCTTGTTGTTGAAGGCCGTTCGGTACATAGGTACTTACATTGACGTCTACAACCTACTGTATCTCCAAAAGGGCCGTCATAAATGTTTCAAATGATTTGGATCGCGCGTGTGTGTGCGTGAATTCGTTCTGCATTGACAAGTGGTCACGCTCCCGCTAACGTGATGAGCAAGTTTATGTTGCTATCCTTTCTGGTTGACATGTCGTGAATGGTGATGATGATCCCCTCACCTCACAGCCCCGGTCCGGTCAGCAGCCAGCCGTCGTTCGCTCGGCAGGCAAAGAGGGTAACCCCTACCCAAGAAAAGGGTATGCTCGGCTCTTTTCACGCAATCGGGGTTGGAAATAGCGGCATTCGTCGCAAGAGAGACATTGGACATGTGCATCACATCACTCACTGCTTGCGTTTGTTGGTCCGCGGCCAGGGACGGTCGCAGGGCCGCTTGCGCGAGACTGCTGAGTTACTGCACCAACTCGCCAACCCATGGACCCTATGAATGATTATCACCACTTCTCACATTTTACATATCACCAAAAACAGTCCGGTAGTCGTTCGTCCATGTTTCTCCCATCGGGCACACCGGTCATCCGGTCGGCGGTGCCCATCACATCACATATGTAAGCGAAGAGCAAAAAGTGACAGACCTTTCGGAACGTACCGAAACAGAACACATCCCAAAGAAGAAAGAGGCAGAAGAAAGATACCTATGACAAAGCAAGCGAACGAAAGTCGAAAAAAGCAAAGAGGCGGAACAGAGCCTCATGCGCCTCTCAGCCTCTTCCCACTCACACACACTCAGAAAACCAAACCCATGACGAACGGAAAAAAATGACAAAAAGCGGATGGGGCGCGACCTACCTGCCGCGGTCTACAGTACATACCCGGGAGGCGACCGGACAGGCACCCGAACGCACGAACAGACGGACGGGAAGGCCGTCCGCGCACCACAACCACATCACGTAGGCGGCTGGTTGGTGGTGACGGGTGACCGGGAGTGAGTGGCGTTCTCTAGGAAGAAAAAGGACACAAAGAAAACTTTTCGACATCCCTGATGTCCCTGATGTCCCAGGCGTGCCTGATCATCAGCCGCTCGAACTGGAAAAAAGAACGAACGAGAGAAAGAGAGAGCGAAAATCAGGGTCCACACACCCCAACTACCCTGCCCTGATTCCCGTGTCCACCAATTCTTTTCTACGGTGAACACCGAACATGCTACCGAACGGTAACGCATTCTGGAACATCACAAGGCTTGCCGACCAGGGCATAAATGATGGATCATTCAACCTCACCGCCAATATACGAAAGAGCCTCTTCTGGAGCCTTTGTTAGCCGCGCTTTTACCGCTCGTGGGAACTGAGGAGACAGTCCCTCTAGTGGCTCATCAGCCGTCAAGGTTCCGAAACCGGTTCCGCTTTTTGCTTT